TTTCACCACCAACCAAGATGAAATTCATTGCATTGCTACAGAGTACTAACTCGTTTATTTTACTAAGTTTGGGTAAATATTTGTTTAAGAGTTTTCATTACAGAGAAACTGAAATGGAAGTATGATTTGAAGTATATGTATCTTGTAATTTTAAAGCGACCGTGTGTAATTTAAGTTTTGAAATGTAACAGTACTTTAGGCCGGTGGCCATATAGTGCGGAATAAAGAAATAAATAAAAAAAAATCATTGTTATTGAGAACATAGAAGGTTCACCCATATCATTGTTATCAAGAACATAGGGGGTTCACGCATATCATTGTTATCAAGAACATAGGGGGTTCAACCATATCACCATTATTGAGAACATAAGGGGTTGTGTAAAAAGTTAGCCAACCAGGCCGCAGTGCTTACATCCACAATGACTGACTGACCACCATCCATTATACCCACTTTCTTTTCACAGGGCAAATGCCATCAAATTATTAGATCTTGAATATTGATATCAGCAAAAAATGGTTTACAGTATTTCCATTGTTTATCCTTTAGCTGGTGACTAGTATGAATGACAATAATTTTCTCTCAAACATTTCATGCATTGCTTTACAAGAAAAATGCCATAAAATATATCTGCATTGAATGTCTATTTAATCCATGTCATATTTCATCGTCTAAAACGCTTGTATTACAGAGATTATTATCTTTCCTGTATTTTTACAATCACTTCCCAGCAAAACATGGAGCATTTTATATTGCAGAATGATTGAAAGTCATAATAGCCACCAAATTGACCAGACAATATTCAAGACACCAGAAATTATTTTTAACTGTGCGTATGACGTAATATCATAGCTTTAAGTATTCTCATGCCTGAGAGTCGGAGATGAATGAGACAAGTACCTGGATGGATTTTCACTATGCATGACTCGTCGTAATTTCCTCATTTCTCGTTCACTAGTTTCCGGGTCAAATGACGCAAATGAGTAGGACAAAGGTCCTGGATTCTTGAACTGCAGACTTCGTAGTAACCTTTGAGTTGACTGTAAATAAATTAACAGTTGTGTCAGATTAACATACAAGGTGTCAGGATGAATTATCTCTCAAGAATAATAATCTTTAATTTCAAGTCACCAGACTAGTCCTTGAGAGTTGGCATGCATTAGTTGAAATAGCCGCAATATGGTTCATTTCAAACGACGTTACAAATCATTACATCACATGATTAATTACCCATAAAGATATTTGATTGAAACAAACAAATTAGTAAACAAAAACTAAAGAAAGCTTAGAAAGAACTCCCGTGTGCTGAGAGTATTGGAGTAATATTAATAATTAATTAACAAACAAAGGTCCGCACAATGTCACAGACCATCATGTACCAGGTTTCATTGATTAATATACACAGATTTTAGTCAAAACTAATTAGGTCTGAGCATAGTCCAAGAGCAGCTATGTACAAAGTTTCCTTGAAATGTAATAAGTAGTACTTAAAATATCAACAGAAAAGTCAACAAATTAGGCAAATGAGGTAATTAATATGCACGGATATTAACCCAAAACCTATCAGGTCTGTGCATTGTCCTTGAGCATCTATGCATCAAGTGATGATTGTACTTGAGAATGAGATTTCAGTGTAAAAGCCAAAAATTAACTAATCTTTGTGCAAATTATGTGATATACGCACAAATTCTTAATCAAAACTAATTAGGTAAGTTCATAGTCATAGAACATCTATGTGCCAAGTTTCATTGAAATATAGACAAAAGCCAAAAATTTAATAATTATGCAAAGTTGGTATTTAATATGCATGAATATTAACCCAAAACTTATCAGGTTTGAGCATTGTCCTATGACATCTATGTACCAAGTTTCATTTTAATGTGATGATTAGTGCTTGAGATATCAGTGGAAAAGTCGAAAATTGACTAATCATTATGCAAATTAGGTAATTAGTATGGACAGATTTTTACCCAAAACTAACAAGGTCTGCACATTGTCCCAGAGCTTCTATGCACCAAGTTTCATCAAAATCCAATTAGTGGTCCTTTAAATATCAGTGGAACAACTAAAAATTAGCTAATTATCATGCAACGTAGATGTGTATTTGCAAAATTTTGTGATTGTCAGCTATTTTGAATCCCAGATGTAGCACGTATGGATAACATATGCATGTAATTTATCCAGGCATATCTGAAATACAGTTCTGATAGCAATTTTTTTTTAAATGGCCACCTTTGGTAATAGTGAATCACATTGCAAAATAAATGTGCATGTATGTGTGATTATGAATGTGATTAGTCCTGGCATGTACACATATGCAGACAGATTGATACAGTGATACACAGGAATTATGAGTTAATTTCTATGAAAATGAGTTTGAAACTACCCGGTAATTTTTTTTTTTTTTTGACACAAAGTGTGAAAGAAAAAAATGTTTTGTTGTCAACACATTTCACAAAATAAATCCATATAATTGCTTCCAACTAGTTTTCTTTTTTTAGTTTAATTTTTATCAAGACCTGTATCACATCGGATATATTATCATATAAAGTAAATTACAGAACAAAAAGAGAAAATGAAATAGAGTTACTGTTTATAATAAAAAAAACAGACATTAGGTTTATGCTACAAAATCAAAAAATCAAATTATTCCAGTACCACACCAACTGTGAGTTCCAACGTATGTCACTACTATATATTACAGAGACAATGCCATTAGTAGATGTATAAACGCGTTCAGTAAATAAAGATACTAGCTTTCTATTGAGACAAGGGAATGTTTGTACTCTATTAACAACACACATTGTACTGACACTACAATCATGTGGATATTCAAAAAAAATCCTGAAAAGCATTGTTATAGGAAACCCTCATGGCATTAAAATATTATTTGCAGCTAAACTTTATTTGTACTTGCCCACGATTGTTCCACTAATAATATGATGTGCAGAGTAGCGCATTAACAGCTCCATTTTTTTTTCTTTCTTTTTTTCTCTCATTTTTTTTTATTATTATTATTTTACTTATTTATTTCTGGAGATTTTGTTTTTTGTTTGTATGTGTATATATGTATGTGTGTGCACGTATGTGTACGTGTGTATATATATATATATATATATATATATATATGTATATATAGCCTGCATAGAAATGTATATTGGTTAGGATTGGGCCACAGACTAGATTAGTTCGGATGAACTACCTCTGTGGTCCACACCAAGAAATTATTATTATTATTATTATTATAAGATTACTAGAATTGTTATTATTATTGGTGAAATAAATCATAAATCAAGCGTAGACTTTCAAAAACAACACCATAATTGACAGCAATAAAAACTAGAGCAGTAAGTTTTGAAAAGCAATTGCTTAACCTCAGTGCTACAGTTCACAAATTTTCGCAACAAGAGATTAGCACGAACACAAAACAAACGTCTCTGGTGTTCAATGTCAATATTGTCTTTAAGATCGTAAGTAATTTTGTGACCGAGATAGTTAAACAATTCAACAAATTCTAATTTATGACTACATAGATAAACCGGTGGTATATTACTCAGTTTATGACGACTTGGAAAATACATACCTACACTTTGTTTTCTTAGTGTTATAAATAATATCATGATCGTTAGCATATAGCTCACATGTATGCAAAAGTTTGCGCAAGCCTTTGATAGAGGGCGCAATGAGACACATGTCGTCTGCATAGCTTAAATTATTCACAAGTTTTAGCACCAACCTGACAACCACTTACAAGCTTATTTAATTCACGACCTAAGCCATCTACATAAAGGTTGAACAGGGCCAGGGACATAATACCTCCTTGACGAACTCCGTTAGTGACCTCAAAGAAACGTGACAGGTTGTTTCCCCCATCTAACACAGTAATGTTGGTGTCGATACCAGTTCACTAACAGCCGAGTAATATAGGGGGGGGGGATTTTACGGTGCACAAGTTTTTTAAATAATGTCCAATGGTTTACTCTATCGAAGGCCTTGGAAGCATCAAGAAAACACACAAACATATTACTTCCCATGGTGTTGTAATGACGAATTATTTCTTTGAGAACAAGAATACACAAATCAGTGTTTCTTCTTAAAACCAAATTGGTTGTCTATAGTTTCATATTATGTCCAATTGGTTCAAAATAAAAAAAAAATTATAGAAGAATATTCAAAGAGACAAAATCAAAGGGTTAACCGACTGAGCTCCGAAGACAACTTTATTTTGTCACCATTCATTTTTAAAACCAGTTTAAAATTGTAACTAATCAAAAGTTATGTTCATTTGGTCCCAAATATAGAAAAATACATAAAAATAGCCACCCCCCACCCCCTCAAGAAAAATTGAGGCGCTCAATGGGTTAATGGAATTTCTCAAATGAATAAAAGTACGGTATATATTGTAAAAGATCTATGTTTATTCTGATCACATACATGTAGATTTCCGAATGCCATACACACACATATATTCATGAAGGCATGCTACTGAAAAATAGTAACTTTCTTTATTGAAATATTTTACAAAAAAAATCTCAGACAGCTCAGCTTAGTTTAATCCTAATCCTGTCAGCCCTGTGTACTTATACCTTTACTTGATCACACAAGGGTTGAAGCCAGCTAGATGTTACACTCAAACTACACTGAATAACAAAATGTAATTACTCAACAGTAAACAAATCATGCATAATGAGACATTTGATGACACAGACAAGGAGAAAGTTGAATCAAAAAAAGGGGTCTTTACAGTTCAGAGAAAATTAATGTACAAAACTCAGTGAATAGTCAGGTTTGTTGGTATTTTACATTCTTTCCTATGGAACGAAAATATCTTTTATGATTTTTGTTTTTTCTC